CCCCAAAACCCCAAAACCCCAAAACCCCAAAACCCCTTTGTGAAATTTGGAAATTGAAAATTTTGGATTTTAATTATTAATTTGGAGTTTATCAAAATATCAGAAATGGAGTCTGAGAGGGGTCAGAGAGGGTTCTGTGTGGGGGAAATGGGAAATTTAGGAGGAGTAGGGAAAGGTGAGGGTAGGTTGTTTTAAGTTACAAAATTTAGGTGTTATTTTAGGGGTTAGACACCGATTTGTGGCTCTGGGAGTGAATAGGATAGCAACCAATGGAAAATTAGCAACAGAATGGGGATTAAGGTTAGGGTTCTCAGGAGATATTTTCTCAGCCAACAGATTTGTCCTTTTTCATGCATGTATCCGGCGAAATGGCCTAGGCAATCCCAACAGAACTCGTATCTTCATTGTTGACACATCATATGGGAGCAACCTTCTAGTTTCTCTATAGCCATTCCTCAACTAGGACACGCTTTGTTGTAAATAAGTTTGTTTAGGTAGTTGAAAGACTCAGGATTATAGTTAAACAGCCCGTAGAAAGATCTTGAGGCAAGTTCTGAATTTGATAATTGTCCATGATCTCTCCATGTATATCCTCAATCAGGGCACTCAAAGGGATCAATACACTTGTTTGGTGGCATTACCCCTGCAAAAGAGCATCCTGGGTTTGGTCATCTCACAATATCCATGCTTAGCGATATGTAATTATCGTTATAAGCCTTGTATACTTTGTCCATTTGTTCAGGAGAAAGGCATTCTTGCATTTCTGAGAAAAAGATAGACTCATTACATTTCTGCTGGAGGCAAGGTATCGGCTCCATTGAAGCGAGTTTATCTGAGGTTATCCTTGTGATAACCCAGATCTGGATGCAACTGCTACATACATAGCTCTTACAAGAGTGTTGCCAGTGTGTATTGTTCTGATATCAGATAGAACAAGGCTGATGCTTGCTCATTGTATTACCTAAATTAGTTATTGTTTTCAACCTTATCTCAAATTTAAGGGGTTTTGGGGTTTTGGGGTTTTGGGGTTTTGGGGTTTTGGGGTTTTGGGG